TAAAGTCATAATTAATATACAATTGTAATTTAATTAAATTTTCCTAAATAAATTTGTATTTTTATTCTGTATAATCATATATGCTTATTTTGTATGATAATTAATCACCTGGAAACTTTCTTTCTGACTCGTGTTGCATATGTTTTTGTTTATTAATCTAATGCAGTTAATATATTTTTCGTTCTTTTATTTTATCACATAATCGTTCATTTATTTACGATATAAAAGAAACCATTAAAAATTTAATAAATAATATTAAATTCAAGCGGTCCTTGAGATATTCAAAAATTATTTTTAAACTATTTTGAAAATGTACAGCTTCAAATTATACACTTGAGTATGAAAATTGAAAAAAATTGACATACTTGAAAACAAACCTACAATTATTAATTGTGAATAATAATGTTAAAAGCCATTTTAAATCAAAGGATAAAAATATGCTAAATTTTATCAAAATCACACATTCAATTTTTCTCTTAATATAGATTTTCTTTTTACTTATAACTCTTTCTAAATAGTCTTTTATAATAAGTTAGTACATCTGAAATTTTTAGTTGCATAAATTTCTATTATTTATATAACACTATTCTCTCTTCTGAGTTCACTACATACTACCAACGTTATAAAAAATATGTAAAGCTGAAAATACGTTTAAGCAGTGTATGGCTTAGCTGTCTTTTTGTATTAATAAATTATCGAATCAATTTAAAATACACACACCATAACTTAATTATACAAATGATTGCTTGTATCATAATACGAGATCAAACGCATAGGTAAATGATAAAATGAATTTGGTTTGAGAAACTAAAAATAGCTAACGTATTTCAATTTAACAAGATAATGTCTAAGTTTTTTTTAATACGCTTTAATTTTGCAACCTGATTGTAAGTTTATGTTTGTGGCAGTAGAAAATTTTTTCGCTCTTCTTTTTTTGTGAAGAATCTGATTAGCATAAAAAATATTATAATCTTAGGTACATATGACATTAAGTTATACTGAAATTAAGGCCAGTCCTTGGTAGCACCTCTCTAAATAAATCATTTATCTAATTTACCATTATACCTTTCATTTGAATATTTCTTCAGACCATATTCGAAACGAAACGGAAGAGCTATTCTTTATAAATACATACAATAAACACAATCAACAAATTAACCCTTTAACCAAATGGTTAAAGGAAATATAATTTATTCATAATGATGCATTTATTACTTAATTCTTTTTCGTATAAAACTTAATAACAAAATTGTCGATACTTTCGTTAGTCAGTATTAATTTATATCTTAAATAAAATATCTTATATATTTTTATCTATTTTAATTTTAAATGGGCGCCAGGAAAATAATTAAAATTTAAAGACTAGAAACCATTTTAATAGACATTGCACATTTTGTACCAGATTTTCAAGTTATTAAAAATTATTTTACTTTTCCTGTCGATAATTTTATATCACTAAATTCTGAATTTTAAAATACAGATGATTTAAAAAAAAAAGAAGCAATTCTAGGTTAAAGGGTTAAAGAGTTGTTGCATTGGACTAAATAATTTAGTTACAACTTTTTTTAATGAAATATTTTTTTCGATTAAATATAATCGTTTACGTTATTAAAATAACTGCGAGAGTCGATATTAATCGAACTAGTCCTTTTATACAAAATATCGTAAATCACTGGACTTTTTGTCTATACAACTTTCATTAATTTTTATTATTCTTTTAGACTATCTTACACTTAGAGACAATAAGTGAATGATAAATAGATTCGAGCGTATGTGTATCACAAGTTTGGATCAGTGTAATTTTAATTTAAATATCTGCACTGTTCTATTTATAAACTAATATACCTTTATATGCATTCGTACACACATACATATATGTATTTGAATATATATAAAATAATATTTTATATTATCATGGACTGGAAGTATTTTGTTTAAATCTTAATGGAAAGACATAAAATACAGCTTATTAAAAGCTAAATAGTATAATTTAAAATATATTACATTAAAACACAACATAAACACAAATTACACGTAAAATTCATGTTTTAGTCAGATATTAATTAGAATTTTAAATTAAGAAATAAAAAAAAATAAAAAAAAAATTATATCTTGTTTTCAGTTGTTGTCAAATTGCAAAAATTGAAAAATCAGACTTACAAAAAAGCGAATTTTCTCAAAAAACAATGTCAACAATTAAAAAAATAGGATTGAAGCATATACAAAGAAAATGAAAGGATCGGAAAGCTTTGTAAATATACTGGTGAATACGTATGGGAGAAAATTCAGTTTTTTATACAGCTGGTTTTAAACGGTACAGCAATTACGTTGTTTAAATAAGTATTCAAAGTGCTAATGTTGCCACAGCCATGGAAGTTTACAAAATGAAAATTATTTAAATATTCGTGAACGATTCTGATTCATGATTTTCTAACCATATTCATTGGCTATCAAAAATAAAATTATCTATTTGAGTGCTTAAGAGGGAGTAATTTTTATGTCGATTACTACAATTCCTAGTGTTTACAGTATGAATTCAAGTACACGAAAAATAATAATACTGCATTTGAATTATCAGAGTATTAAATCTGTCTCCTTATGAAGCCGCTATAATTCTGCTACTAATGCCATAAACATAAATATGTAAAGTTCTCACTTGTCAAAATTGACTTTTTATATAAATAAATATAGATTTAAAATATTTCTAATGGATTTGATATGCGTTAGATTTCTGATTATTAACTCTTAATTATTTCATTATGTTTTATTTTATTCTATTAATAACGATGAAATTAGTATGATGAATCATTTGATTGAATTAGACAAGTCGTAATCAGTATCCTCGCATACCTTTACGCTATAGTCACTTCAGCAATTACTATTTCTGTTAACAGTATAGATACAATTTTGTCATTAACTCAAATGAGCAAACATAATTTTTGGATACTTTTATATTAAATATCTCACTATAAATGACAAGAATATTAATAATTATCAGCAAACAATCATTGCAATAATAAGTTATAAAAAAACACATCGTAAACGACGGTATCTACCATTATAATTGCTGCAGTTTGTGTCATATTTGAAATTCCAAACGCTAATGGAGTCCATTGGATCCGAAGCAAGTTACCGGATTCTATGATTTTAGAGTTGGTGCCTCTGCATAGACCATTGTACCAATTATAATATTGATAATACGTAAATGGCAAAGGATTTCTATTTTTACATTTCAATTTTCGAAATTAAATACTGAATTTAATATACTTATCGCCTCTTTAAGCCTCATTTTAATTGGCTATTATATAATTCTCTAATTGATTATCTATTTTAATTAACTAATGGCTATAATTTCTAATAGCCCCAAAGAATTAATTACAGCATCAATTTTCTAATATATTTCTTTGAGAAATCCGACAAGATGTTCAAAAAGTCAAGTTGAAATGACAACTGCTTTCATTAAAAGCTCAATTCAAATAAACTGTTATAGTATTTGTGATATCCTCATTTTATAGTCGGAAAACCGTTGTAGGAATACATTGCCATATAATTGACAAAAAGTTGCCGGATCTGGACGAAATGTAGACATTAGTGGATATTCTATTATATCATAAAATAAACTCGAGATAAATAGCGTAGACGACTTATTTCAAACTCACTTATTCGTACGTCGAATTAGGCTTGCTTATACTGTTTTTGTTTTTGTTACACGTACATCTACAAAGGCTTTTAAAAGACCATTAAATATGTGAACTTAATACAAGGGATTTTTAATGGGAATCAGAACCTTAGCCAAGCGAAGCAAATCCTAATCAACAGAGATCGTTAGGTGTAACTTATTGAATTTAAATTCTGCAGTTTCTTGAACACTGCGACTAATATACTTAAAAAAATTAATAATTTTATGCGCTAAACTTTCATCGTACCATTTAATGTCAACTGTAAATAAAACTGAATTTTTACTTTTCCTGTTCATTCGTTTCTTTTTATTCTTTGACTATTGGCATAGCTTTGCTAAAATATTTCGTCACCTGCTAATCCACTTTTATACATTTCCAAGCTTTGCAAAAAGCACGAACAACTATATTTCGCAAAATTATCTATCTAATGACGTGTTATTATCATTGGACAGCATCAATATAAACAAAATTAATTTGTTAATATACATGTATAAATATATACATATACATATATATCACGATTATTAAATTGCTACAAAATTGTCATAAACTTGTTCTCAATAAAAACAATCCTGTTAATAGAAAAGAACGAAGAGATCACAAGCTGAGCTAAATATGTTAAAAGAATTCTATTCTAAGCTTGCATTTAAGTGTAAGTGACTTTACAGAAGTGAATGGTGCTATCGAACCATAAAAAACGAGCATTTTTATTGTTTTGTTTTCATTTAAATTTCACCTTATGAGTAAAGATTTTTAATAATTATTAATAATAAATTATTATTCTAATAAATAAAAATTTTTATATATTTGAAAATGCAATTTTTCAATAATCTGCAGAACATGTATTCGACAATTATTCATTTTACACCTTCAGATTATTTATCTGAGTACGCATATTGTTAAAAAAAAAAATCATTATTACTGTATAGATAATGATGAATTAATTACACATAAGAGACTTGCAAAGGCCAAAATGAAATAAAATATAAAATGTTTCAATTATACTTATTACTTTTTTAATATGCACTTTATTTTTTGCTATTTATTTTTTGCCATGGATATTATGTAATTTTTTAATATTACTGTATAGATGCCAAATAAATTAAGAAAAAAATTGATTTAATACTCTAATCTAGATGCATCCTAACTCCATCTCCAATTTATGAAAATATATGTTATCATTTTCATATCTTTCTATACATTGCAAATAAAAAATAATAAATAAACATTATCTCTAGACTAATTGCGATAAAAATTCGTAGTAAATAATCGATGTAAAATACCTACATGGACATAATGTAAAACATTCTCCACGCTCGACTATCGTAAATGAAATTTTATAATTTTAAATAAATAAGCTCGTTTTTTAGACTCAGAAGCTTAAAAAACTTCTCAAAAAATATATATATAAAAAAAAACATTAAAAACGGGATGAACATCCCGCATGAAAAAATGTCAAATGACTATTCGTTCTCAGCCGATGAATCTTTGATAAATTCATCCTTGGTAATGTTCTGGTTCATCTGGTCATTTTCATATTCGACAAAGTCGTCGAACAGGCTTGGCCAGGCTTCCGCGTCATCATAGGCCCCTAAATCGTCACCTATACTTTCTGCGAAGTTCAGGAACATGTTCCACGTATCCCGCGGTATACCCCGAACGTGATGGCATTCGAGGAATTTCAACCACCTACTGAGTAAAGGAGGCTCACGAATCGTGAAAACGAGCCTCCAGAGAACGATAGCCATATCGGCGGGTAAAATACGCTGACCCGAATTAACATCGAGTCCGAAGCGGAATGTAAATCGATATAGATCTTTGAAGAATTCTCCATTCGTTGCTAGTTCCTGAACAATTTCGGGCAATTGAAGCTGAATCCCACGGATACTATCTACCCTCATGGATTTCAAACCTTGAACAAACTCTTGACGTGTAAACTGGCACATTTGCTCCGCATTCAGCTTCCACGCGAGTACCAACACCTTGAATTCATCTGGAGATAATTGAAGATCGTCGCAGAGTCGCTCAATTCCATCTGCTAATATAATGTCCTCGTGTGGATCCTGCATGGGCACGATAAATATTCAGTGAAATAAACAATTTCTTTTTTAATGGATAACGAGTTAATCAATACGAAGAGTTGCTTTTAAATATTAACTGAAAGATTTTTGTAATATTTTCAAGTATTAATTATTTTATGGGACAAGTATTATCATCAGTCGGTGTATTCAAAATAAATAATATTTAAAGTTTTAGAAAGAATATTTTATTGGTTAACGCGTATAATATTTCTATATAAAATTCAGACGAATATTTCAATAAATTTATACTTGAATGTATATTTTTGGAAGATCGATAAAAAGAACGTATTCGTTATTGATGGATCGAAGCTTTCTATTAATTAACTGTAACTGAAATATACTATTTAGCCAAAATATTAAGCACAGTATATAATATTATTAATGTAAACACAATCTGTAGATAAACTAAAGTTCTCGACTTTTCTTGACAAATCCTATCTCTATTTAGTATTTATCATTATAATGTTTAATATTGCATTTAACATAAATTTTATAAATCACTTTAATATTTAGTTTTCAATATATAACCAATATATAATTGTAAAAGATTAAAAAAAAACTTTCGTAAGAGAATGAATTGAATCATTAAGATTGACAATTAAAAATTCTACATTATAGGATCTAAAACACCTTCTTCCTTTTGATATATTTTAATTATACATAGATAGGCCACTGATTCAAATATTTTGAATAAAAATTTTTAAATAAAATTATCAAAGATAATCTATGTATGCAAATTAATTTGTAATTGAAACAAGAAATATTTACCTTATACTGATCAAAAAGGCAATTGATTTTGCTTTCTGAAGGTTCTTTTTGCTGTTTACAATCAATCACCGAATTAAGACCAGAGTTGTTTCCTGTCCGTCCTAACGGTGGTAATCGTGCATAAAAGCCACGGGATAAACGTAAGTTACCTGGAACTATAGGTACAGAGCCACAATTATCAGAACCTACACCATTAAATGTTGACATTGCATTTAACGATGATTTTTTATTTCCATTGGCATGAGATTCTATAGCTGTGTGTGGATGGTTTTGACTGGCATTTTGTGGAAACAAAGTACGTAACTCCATTGTTTCTGTGTAAAGATAATACACTTAGTTCGTTTCCTTACTTGAAATTACTATTTGTAATAGGTAGTATAATCGTATACACTATTACCATAATATTTTTTTAAAAACAATTAAACAATTATTTCCATTAGCGTTAATCAAATTAATTCATTTGAGAAATTGGTTTATAGAAAAGTTTATACCATCTTTTTGTTCCAAAATAGTCGACTGATTAGTTGTAGATGGTGGGGGAGGCACCTTAAAACATGAAAAACAGTTTCCCATTGATGCTGTCTGTATCCAATAAGAACAGCAATTACTTCTTGCATCAGTAATTCAGTCTTAAATTGGCAGTCTTAATCAAAAGCTGTAGACAATTTTTAAATAAATATATAGATTTTTATAGATGCATAAATTTTGTTGGTTATTTTGAATATTGTAAACTTTAATATTCTTAGGAATATCAACAATTTAATCCTTAATAATAACGAGAATACATTATCAATATGTTTATAAAAAAAAAATAAATATAAAATATTAAGATTTTAATTAGATATAATATTATTTGATACTATTAAAATAATTTTTATTATATGTTATTATAATTAAATCCATACTATGGTATAACTTGTATGTTCTATTATTTGAACTAAATAGAATTATTTTGCTAACAAAAAAGTCATAAAAATTATAAATTTAATACCAATGCAATTAATTAGACAAAAGAATAAAGAATGAAAACATTAAATACAATCTACGGAGGAAATCATATCTAAATATTGAGTATAGTTTCATCATCATGTTTTAAAGTAATTTATTATTGTAGCATTATTTTATGAAAAACTTATGAAGTCATCAAGGCTTTTTATGCAAACAAATATTTAATTATTAATTTGAAATGCAACTTGCAATATTTATTTAAATTAAAATAGAAGGTTATCAATTGTTCATGCGTACATGTAGCTATGTCTTAAGAAGTAAACATCTCCAGTATTCAAAACAAAAAAAATCTTAAAATAATTAAATATTTAAGTTGAATGAAAATAAAATTGACAGGAAAAAAGAAAAGAATACCTTATTGTTATGAAAGATGTTGAGGGTATTGACGGATCGGTAGCCTCCTTCAAGGCATCCCGGACGAAGCTTTTGTGCTGGAAACTGCATTAATGTGGTTTCACTTTAAACGTTTTTTCAAAAAAAAATGATGCTAGAGTGTAAGGGCTGGCGTGTTCTCTCTCTCTCCCTCTCTCTCGAACCCCTTTATGCTCTCGGCGAAATCAGCAGGTGATGTGCGCGCTTCTGCATCCTCGTTCTCGCAGTTCCCATCAAATATGCCACTCCGTTCTTTCTTCTTTGAACTTATTGGCTCAATGAAAACGCGACTTAAGCCAGTGTCAAGTTGAAAATAGATTGGAAATAATTGTTAGAACGGTAAGTAGCTGCCGAACAAATTACGCTCGTGCTCCCCTCAGCCTATCGACGTTGTTATTTCTTTTTCTCACGTGTCCTTGTCATTTATCCCCGGAGGTATTTCGCTGCTCCGCTCTGTCGCGCTTACGACGATTGAAGATAACATGTAGGAACTGGAAGGTAAAAATAATGGGACACGAAGAGTTTATAAAGTCGTCGCCGTCGCGCGTCGCCGTTGTCGGTCCTTCTCACACAGCAGTACGCGGACGGAGCAGGTATTATAGCATTTGCCCCAGCCATAGTCCAGCCATAGACTTGCGCGAGGCCTAAGATCAGAATACTTGAGCAGCTGCTATTGAGGACACTATAGGCTTTTCAGGATTTTAGGTTACCGCAATTGGCCGCTAGGTGTGCTAGTAGCCGCACGACATCCCATAATGGTTTTATTAAATATTGCCCACGATTTATAATTTATATATATATATATATATATATATATATATATATGGATATGCTAATATAGGCGGGCGCACGTGGCCTGTGTACCATAGGATGCGTAGAGAAATTTTTAATAGTTACTCAACATAACATTCAATGTCATTACTACATAAGACGGATTTTATGACAGATTGATATTCATATTTTTAATTTGTAAATGTTAACTATCATTGATTATTATATGCTTCTATAAAGATAGTCAATAGTTAAGCTGTATGAATGGGGCTTTCATAGATCTCAAAGATAACAAGCAACAATAAACAACTGTGGATCGTATGATCTACAATTCTTTATTTTTACAAATTGAACTTCAACTGAAAGCAATTGTAATTTTATGTATAACTAAGCCATCATCTAGTGATTTTATTTTATTACTAGAATTTATTTTATTTTATTCGCTAGAATTTTACAGATTCGACAGTCATTTATTAAATTCTATACATAACTCCTACATTCGAAATAATATTAAATCAAATAATAACGATAGTTGTACTTTGATTTATAATTTTCTTTCACATCGAATTGGAAATAATTTAGATTTATTACAACAATTGTTATTCAGCAATTATGCTCTTGGCTTATTAATTATAATAAACAAAGAAAATATTAAACATTAAGGATACCCTATCAAATAGTAAAAATAAGTAAATCTATCAAATAGTAAAAATTAAATTAAATAAAAACAGAGTAAGCTATTACATATCAGCTTACGTTTATAGATTAAACTAAACTAAGTAATTTATAAAATCAAAATTTTAGACCATAAATTTCAGTATGTTTGTGATAAAAATAACCATCGTAATTACTTTTGGCTATATATAGAGTAACATTACTCACTAATCCATATACAGGACATTATAATTAATTAATCAATTACATTTCCTTTTTATTTTATATTTAAATACACAATAAAATACACTATCTCAATAAAAATAATAAACCAGTAGATTTTAAAGAAAGTTTGAAATAAATATTTTATTCAATACTAAAAAGTTTTAAATATTAATTTTAAATATTAATTCCACAAATTTACCCTCGATATACAAAATCTAAGATGTCCAAATGATAGTTAAACAAAAATTCTCATGCCCATACACGCACTTTTAATAACTTTTATTAAAAAATCTTAATGACATACTCGATATTATTGCACGGATATGTTGTAAATTGAGTAAATGTAATAGATAAACTATTTCATTTATTAATGTTAAATTATTTTTTTTGTATAACTGAAAAAAGTGTTTTCTCAAAAATGCATATTACGTTTATAAAATAAAAACTACCACTATTTATAAAATTGATGAAGTTATAAATATTACTTTTTCTATAATTCTGAGTATACGTTAATATATAATTAAGTTCTTGACTCATAATATTATGGAATTACGAATGCTACTAATTTTCAACCTACGATTTTAAAATCTACATAAATATTAGTTGCATATGTTTAGTTTGTAAGTGTCCTGAGGCAAAGATTACCGATATGTAGGCCCTACTAATGAGTTAGATTGCAAAAATAGATATACGAAAATATTCACATGATATTTATAGCAGAAATCAGAAATAAAATATTAAATGAATTTATCCACATTTAATTTCATCATCTTATGTAGAGAAATACTTTTAAATACAAATATAATTAATTTTATATAGAATACTTAACAAATCATTAGACATTTTAAAGTTTTACACGTAATTAACACAGTAAAAAAAAAAAGTTATTTACTTATTTATTATTTAGTTTCTTATGATATAAACCAATTAATAAGGATAACAAATCGTTTTCATTCGCAATTGATAGTTGTTTTGTCATATTTTTTGTCATTTCGCCAGTAATTTTCGTTTATAAATAATTATAAAATTTTGTATAAATCATAATATTATTTTTATGACTTTTTTTTATGAAAAGATATTCCAGAATTATTTTTTCACAAATAAAGGAAATCCAAAGGAAATTTTTCCTAAAATACAAAAATGAAACCAAGTAATTTATGTTCATAGTATGCGATTTGGTCCAGTCTTAACTAGTGTCAGTGGTCATGTATATATCTCGCCTATTTATATCACTATTTAAATTACCTTGGCTTTATTGTTAGTATCATACATACTAATTTTAAAATCATTTAATTCAGTTATCTTATTACTCATTAATTATGAAAATAAAAAAAACATCGATTGCTTATAAATGATTAAATATCATTAATATACATATTATAATTTATAAATATCAATAATTGTATCGGAATAATTCTTTTTGAATTCAACTATTGAATTAAATTATTAAGAGTATTAATTTACTTATAAAATCAGCATTATACATAATAAATAATCATTTTAATTCTAACTGAATATCTTATAAGACTTTTGCAAATTCAAAAATCTTATATAAAAATCGCAAATAAATTTTTTTATTTTATATTTTATTAGTTTTAATATTACATTTAGTCTAGTATTACTACACTAGTAGTATAGATTTTAATATCAATCTTAGTATTCAGTTAACAATCTAAGAATTTCCATAATAATTTTGTATATTTATTTTAATTGTCTGGTATTAATTATTAACAGAGAGTTAATTTTTATAAGTATATTTATGTATATAATAATTATCAATTCATTTGATTTTCCCGAAACACTATAATAAACGAATAAACAATAAATATTTTAATATTTACTTTAATGCTTATGTATGTAAGATTCTAATGTAATTTAAATAAATATTAATATTTAATCTAAACATTACAATAATATGTAAGTCTTTTTAAATAATGTTATTCCATATTTATAAAATAATGATGCAGTAAATGAAAGTTTTGGTAAATTAGTTCAAACGTAGAAGGTATTAAAAAATTTTTAAATTATATGTAGATTTTGAAATTGTTTAACCAGTTATTAAAAATAATCACAATTACAAATATTTCAGTTAATTCTGTAGTTTTCAATAGTCTATTTTAATATTTGATTATTTAATATTCATGTTTGTTATATATGTGTGTATGTGTGTGTGCGTGCGTGTGTGTTGTATGTGTAGTGTGTATGTATTATTATAAAAGGTTTTTTATTAATTCAACATTCTTCATTATTGATAATAATAATAGTATAAATTATCAAAGCCATAATAGTAGTATACACTACATATCTTTAATTACTATTAAATTAAAATAATTATGATCTATATTTAATACAAATATTGTTAAATGTGAAAATGTATTAGCATTTAAACTATTTTTAAAAACTTATGAGCAATACATTACTAGAGCAATGAAAATTCAAGAATTCAGGTAAACTATTGTAATTTTAAAGAAGGAATACTTAGAAAATGAAAAAACCATAAAACGAATCAAAAGCTATATTTTTATAATTTAATTTTGAAATAGTCACTTAATATTTCGATTTATATTCTTATTAATATATTTAATATCAAAGATTCATCAAACTATTTTAATTAGATAAATGGATTATATAAAAAAGATTATATTTTAATTTATGAATTAAAAAATAGTATAATTATTCAGAAATACACTTTGTTATAATTTGTAAGTATTGTACATATTACCTTATTAAATGGTTTTTATTAAAACAACTTATTAAATATTTTTAAACTAACTTAAAAATTAATTATTATACTATTCCAGATAATCTTCACCATTTTCATCATTTTAAATTAAATATATTTAAGTATTTTATAACAATATCGTCTTCATCTACGTATGCTACGATCATTCTGCCGTACAATAATTCACTCTTTAATAATTCAAGAATCCATTAAGGAGGTGATAAATTTTTTCGTGGAAAATAACATTTCATTTTGTACATTTAACTGGTGAATTTAATTGTTTAATTACGTTTTTCTAAAATATTCTTGGACATATTGACTATTATCTAACATATTTGTTGCCTATTACTGCCATTATTGTTAAGATAAAGATTTAATTTAAGGTAATAAATTAGAACTAAGAATATAGACTATATTAGCTCTTTCGGAAACACTGATTAATAATTAAATAAAATATTAGCGACTACTTTATAAACATTATTTTTTAATGATTTATTATTTATATTAAAAATCGCCAAAGCAGAAAAACCTGGCCTTTAAAAATATTTTTTTTTAATAAACAATCTAGGAATTTCTTTTTTTATTCATTTAAGCAAAATCTACTTATGTATTTTTAAAATATATGTATATTTAAAATATATATATATATATAAATAGATATATATGTTTATTTATTTTGTTTATATATATTGTTGTATATATTTATATGTTTCCAACTAGTTGGATATTGCAAGCTTCGGTAACTAATAAATAATAATTTAGTAGATAATTATATATCATTATTATTTAATTTTTTATTTATTATATTAATAATCTTAAAGAAAATAACAGGTTATTTGTATATAATTATTTGAACGAATTGACGCTTGGTAAATTTTTAAGCCTATATTTGTAATTATTGATAGTAGTTCGAAAATCTTCTTATAATAAATAATATGAATTTAACAAACCAATATATAAATATATAAATAAATATATAAATATATAAATATATTATATAAAAATTTATTTACCGTTTGAATATTTTATACTCAACAAATGTTAATTCTTTTATGTAATATTATTTTATAATAGAATACCAAGAATATTTTTAAAAAAAGGATGATTTTTTTTTACCCGCCATTAGCCTAAATTAAACTGTGGATATCAATAATACTGTGTATACAGTTTTATTACTTTTCAAAATGATTTTTTATTACATATTTCATGGATCACTAAGGCTTCTATTAAATCATGCGTAATATTTTATTAATGTTCTCTTAATATTAAGGCAATATAATATTATGCATTTAAGTTAATTAATTAGCGAATATTTCTTTAATATTTCGCAATTAACTACAGTTTATAATATGTAAACGTATGCATAATTAATTCATTTTAATAGAATGTGTGTAAATTGTATCAATAATCATTGAAAATTATTAATTTCTCTTTATTGAATGTATTTATTATTATTTTGCATTAAACATTTTTATTTTAAAACTATTATTATTTTAATTATTTTATTTCTTTAACGATATTAATTTTAAAGATATAATGAAATTTTTATACATAATAAATTTGTAATATAATAAATAAATTAATATAATAAATTTGTTAAATTGGATCTTTATAAGGTATCCTTCCTCATTAAATAATGTTTATTCATATTTTTGATAATTGTCAATCCATCAAATTTAATTGTATGTAACGTGTTTATTTTCATTAAAATGATTCAAATATTATTTCAATCAAGTATCATTGCGCTTTCATAAATTTTACATTCAAATGATTGTTGATTCATTGTACGCTTATTAATAATAATAATTAAAAATGTTGATTATCGATTAATTCGCAAATGTGGAAATTTTGCAATGTTGCTGATTTTTTGTTTTTCATGATACAACTGATCTTATAATAATAACATGGCACCTTGATAATAAACTGTTTTATAAGAAATAATTTTAATATTTTTCATTTTCTATCTCTTATTAAGCTTTATTTAATTAATTTTTTTAACATTGTAAAATCTTATTACTACACTGAAAATCTAATAATTATATATCTTTATCAATATCTGTAACAGTTTTAGCGCACTTATAATTCAACAACCGTATGAATGGTATAGCAAATCCTAATCTCTTGCTTTCTCTGTCTCTATCATCGTTCTTAATTCGCCGTATTAAATTTTCTTTCTAAATTTAAAAATTGTCGATCAACTGTGCGGTATAAATCAAGCAATAAAATTCATGAGGTACCGAGAAGAGGTATGTTTATAGTAATTTTCTAAGTCTTGAAACTTATACTTCAAGTCTTGAATTTTCTTATTAGACTTTTTTCAACTGGAAGCAATGTTTTAAAATTTATGAAATTATTCGTTGCATACTTTATGATTTATTTTGGATCCTTTAAAAGAAATCTTATTTAAATTAATAGTAGTAATTTAAGTAAAAGAATATTGGTTAAATACTGCCCATATTTTAATTTTAATATTTTATTAAAGAGGTCTTTGTAGTCTGTAAATGAAGTAAGCATGAAATATTTTCATTTTTCCTTGTATTTGCATGTCTTTGAGCTGAAATTAAAAGTAGCATCATATTCCGTGAACCAATTTTCTTTGAAACAGTTTGATTCGGACGAGAGTAAAGAATGCGGAATGATGATAATCTGACTGAAAGTGTCAAAAAGTCAAAGGGGAGAGAGAGAGAGAGAGAGAAAGTATAATTTATAATAACAAGGCAACATTTTATAATAACAACAATTTATAATAACAGGCAATAAGAGTATGAATATTAGCAACTGATGAAAGATTCATTTCGATCATGAACAATCGGATATACATTTTACATAAGAATTTAACATGTCAATACACATGCATACTACGGTCAACACGTTTGCATGGACTTACAAAAGTGCAAATGTACTGACATTAGAATGTATATCGCGTACGTGTATCGCGCAGAATCGACGCAACCGGGACGCCAGGGTGACGCGTCAGCGGCGTCGCAAAGTGCTCACGCGCAGCATGGCCGCGTTTTACCGTAAAACGAATAGAAGTGATAGAGACAGACTGAGAGAGTAAGAGAGCAGAAAAAGAACGATAAAGAGAGGAAGAGTGTGATGCATGATTCGATATAGATGGGATTTTTTATGTTTATGTAATTAGTGTTATGCCCCTTTTACTTAAGTCACCGAGGTTTTAAGATTCGCCAAATAGATTTTGTATAGTATTTGACAGATCAATCAACAAGGAAAAAAAAGATATATTATAGATAGATAGATAGATGAATAGATAGATACACATGGATAGATAGATAGATAGATAAATAGATAGATATATAGATTGACAGATAGGGAGAGGGGCGGGGAGCGATGTTCTCATTACATAAGAAAAGGTGAACGGAGAGGATAGTAACCGAATGATAGTAAATATAAAAGAAGGAGATGAAATCATAGAGAGAGAAGTAGATATAGAATGGATCTAAGCAAAAAATGCATATATAGGCGGGAAGAGAAGGAATGAGAAAGTAAAAGGAGAAAGAGGGTCTGTGACGAGCAGTGAGGGGGTGTAAGGGTGCGAGAGAAAGAGAGAGAGAGAGAGAGAGAGGAGTGTGTCTCTACGTCAGGAAAAGCTCGGCAAGCTTATTGGTCCCGGTCCATTGTTGCGTATTGATTGCCACCCGTGTCTGCGCATAGCGGCAGTAGCAGCAACGGCGGGACCCGCGCGTTCGGTAACCCCCACTTTTCATTATTTTTCTCTCTCTTGCGACTGATACCTCTCTGTCTATCTTCCTTCCCTCCCACTCGCCCTCCCGCTCGCTCTTGCTCTGTTTCAAGCGCGCGCACGACGACTCGCGGACTCAACCAAACGCAAAGACAAGAAGAGCTACAAAGCTCCGTGTGTGCACGGACAGTCACCGCCGCCGTCGTCGTCGTCATCGTCGTCGTCGTCGTCGTCGTCGTCGTCGTCGTCGTCGTCGTCGTCGTCGTTGTCGTCGTCCTCGTCATCGTCGTTGTGGTCGTCATCGTTGCCGCCGCCGTCGTCACGCGGAAGCACACATTCAAACCAAGATACGGCTCTACCCATCAAACCGCCTTCGCACGTTTATGCTCGAGTATTTGTGTATATTTCTGTCAGGGAGAGAGCGAGCGAGCGAAATAGCGGGCCAAGGAGTATACGTGCGCCTAGTCCGCATTTGCAAGCGGCCAGAGACAGCTGCGGTTGCGGAGCCATTGCGAGCGGCAGCAGAATTCTCGGAGTCTCTGTCTATCGTCCACGTTGAGACGTTGCACGCGTACAAGGGCCTTCAGATCAAAAACCTCTCGAGGACGAGGGTACGTTCGGAGGCGCGCGAACGCGCGCTAAGCGCTCCCCCTATCCCTCTTAGCGCCTCGTAGCTCCTCGTGCGTCGTGGGAGAGAAGAAGGGAGCAGCCGCCAATCGAGTTTTCGGAGAGGACGGAGGATGCGCTATTCGTAACTAAGCTCGAATAATAGAGCCGAGCGGAGCGGGCAGCGGCAACGCGCTTATATATGCGTAAGCGCGCGGGCGCTCACACGCAGTAAGGTACACAGGTCGGGTACACATTCGAGGGCCCGAATCCCGGTTTCGAACGTGGATTCCGTCAGTGCGCGAGTGTTGAATAACGGCGTGTATATCCTTGGTGTTGGAGTGCTCGAGCTTGGAGTTAGACTCAGGGAGAAGCTCCAGAGTATAGTGAGCTTATACGAGGGCTGAGATCCTCTCTGTAATTGTCCCCTCTCCTCTATCTATCTTCCTATCAGTCGCCCCTCTTCCTCTCTCTCTCTCTCTCTCTTTCTCTCTCTTTCTCTCTCTTACAGTCTGCCTCCTTCACCGACCCTCGCTCATTCCCTCACCTTCCCTCTCGCGCCCACCTACACTCTGCACCTGCCCCCCATCCGCCCTTCCCCAACCCCATCACACTATCACTCACACACTCTCTCTGTTTCCTGCAGTGCTCGCCATTAGGTTGGGATTAGGTCAACGCGCGACAGCCGTGGCGTGTCCGTCCGCAGTAGTAACGGGCGCGCAACGGCTGGCCGTCGCGAGTCGGGGGCAAAACAGCAGTCAAGGCCGCGGCGCGTGCCCACATCGCCGATAATTATGAAGCGGGCGAGGGCCGGTCGCAGGAGCAGCCAGAGCAGCCAAAGCAGCGGCAGCAGTAGCAGCAGCAACAACAACAGCGGCAGCAGCAGCAGCGGCGGCGGTGGCAAGAGTGGCAGCGGCACCGGCAGCGTGAGCAACGGTAGCGGCTGGGGCTGTGCCGGGGGGAGAGGTGGTGCGAGAGCCGGGCCTCGCACGCGGCGGTGAATGTGCTTACCGGGGGCATCGGTCGCGGGAGCAGCTGCTCTGCTGGTCGTGTTTACGGGGTTGGAGGGCCGGCGCGGTGGCGAGCTCCAAGGGTACTGGGACGGGCCAGGGCTTGATACGACGAGGCCACGCGGGTGGTTAGAAAGCAGCCGCGACAATGACGTGCGAGGACCCGAGCGAGCAGCCCCCGGTGGACGACTGTCTCAAGGTGAGGAGGTGGTGGTGCTTCCTCCTGTCGAGCATTTTCACCTTCCTCGCGGGCCTCCTCATAGTCCTCCTTTGGCGGGCCTTTGCCTTCCTCTGCTGTCGGAAGGAGCCGGAGTTCGCGCCCAATGACCCCAAGCAAAAGGAGCAGAAGGCCGCGCGCCAAAGTAAGGAGTTCGAGGGGACGTTTATGACCGAGGCCAAAGACTGGGCTGGCGAGCTCATATCTGGACAGACGACTACTGGACGCATCCTCGTGAGTACACATTTATCTCGATTAATCTGCTTAATCGTTACGCTAGTATCCTGTGGGATTGGGAGACAATTCGATAATTACGAGTAATGGAAAATCACTCTTTC